TTTATACGCTTGACAATGGGTTTAAGGAGCGAGGTCAATTCAAATAATGTTAAAAAGCAAGAGACGCTTTAAAAATTATAATATTTAGGATTTAAAGTAAAATTATTAAGCATAAAATGGAATAATTTATTTTATTAAATCTGTTATCATATTATGAAGGGGACGAGATCTCTTTTGTTCAAAAAAGTAGTCAGTATTTTTTTTCTACCTAAAGCTTAAGATTACTATTTCTAGCTGCCAATGTGACCAAAACAGTTTGAACAAATAATGTACTGAGTCAGAAAATAAGATCGTTTATCCCTCTTTAAAGTTATCAATACACCAATACGATTTGATGTGGCATACTAACTTTAAAAAATTCATTGTGTAGTCATAAACAAAAACTAAGTGAACCTAATTTTTGTCCAAATCTAACAAGTGTGTTCCTCTGCATACAAGTTATTGAAGAAACTTAAATAAACCTTATAAAAATTAAGCTTGGGAACATAGCCGTCGTGTCCACTTTTAAGCCCGTTGAAATCAATATCCTGTACTTTTAAAATGTATTTATGAGATTACATAACAAATCGATTTTTTTTCCAATATTTTTTTCGGCATCCCTTTGTAACGCCCATAAATGTTGGCAGCGTTATCACATGACTGACCTCTACATTTCGTTGTCACAAGACTAACCTCTACATTTCACTGTCATATGACTGACCTCTACATTTCGCTGTCATATGACTGGCCTTTATATTTCGTTGTCATATGACTGACCTCTACATTTCGTTGTCACAAGACTGACCTTTATATTTCGTTGTCACAAGACTGACCTCTATATTTCGTTGTCACAAGACTGACCTCTATATTTCGTTGTCATATGACTGACCTCTACATTTCGTTGTCATATGACTGACCTCTACATTTCGTTATCATATGACTGACCTCTACATTTCGTTGTCATAGGGTTGACCTCTACATTTCACTGTCATATGGCTGACCTCTACATTTCGCTGTCATAGGACTGACCCTCTACATTTCGTTGTCATATGACGGACCTCTACATTTCGCTGTCATATGACTGACCTCTACATTTCGTTGTC